TGAGAAGGTAGGTGATGCGGACGTCGTGGAAGACATTTTGTCCCGTAACGCTCGCCGTACTGTTGGGGGGGAGAAGCGGTGGGGGGGAGACGTTCATGTTGCTGCAGTCTGCAGTCTGACCGCTAGATGTCGCTGAAAATTACACACTGTAGCTTTAATCATCATAACCGTTATTAAAATAACATAGTTAATTTTTTATATGCATTTTTATACATTTTTTAATATTTTTTAATTATTAATTTTATATTAATTTTATGTCAATTTTATATTAATTTTATATTAATTTTATATTAATTTTATATTAATTTTATATTAATTAAGGCGGGACTTCCGGTTTAATTAAGGCGGGACTTCCGGCTGTCACTTTGGAATGTGGGCGTGGTTTCGAGTTTGATGAAAGGTGGGGTATATAGTTTTTTCACCTGGTTGACTGTCATTCCTTTTGCAAATATTGGTCTCTTTAAGGTTGCATGCAAAAGAACAGGACAGAGAGTCCATTGTTTGCAGAACTTAGTCATGACACTGTGCGCAAATAAATTTGATGTAGCATAGAAACTAAATTAGAGAATAGGGGTATGTTCATGCTCAGAGTTCAGAGTTATGGCATGTTAATCTTATGACGTGATGTTGATTGGAATGCTAAAATATTGCGATGACATGAAGGCAGTCTGGAGATGTCTTGGAAAAACTCTAGAATTTGATTTGAATAATTCGTAGGTCATGAACTATGGATAGAAAAACGTTTCTATTTTAGACCTTTACTACCTAGTGTGTAAAAGTACTAACATTTATCATTGCTTAGTCTGTTTTGGCCAGACTCTGTATTTAGACAAGCATCATGATAAATATCTGTCAGAAATTCATAAAGAACCTTTGCATTAGCAGATTGCTTTTGGCTTTAGCTATAGAAACTGAACATAAAAATGTGAGGATTGTTCAAAAAATGTCAGACGAGGAGAAGAGCAATATTGTCTTGTTTTTGTCTTTGTTTCCAAATGAAAGTGTTTATTTCAGTGAATGTAAGTGAAAACATATGAAACCCGATGACTTTTATTTGTGCACTTTAGTCCATGAAATACTGCATCACACTTTTAAAATGCTTTCATTTAGCAATCAGCTGCACTTCGACATCCCATTCAAGGTTGATGGGACTAAAAGTGGACTTTGCTGATAATTGGTTCAATTTTACCACTCTCTGCTACAGGCTGGAGGAAACACAACTACTCATTTGGTAGTAGGGAGATGAGTAGCCACTTTGCAGATCCAGGGCTGTAAAAGCTTTCAGGATAATCAGGCACATGAGTACCAAGTGAGCGTAGAGCATGTTGAACTGTAATGAAATGCACACATGGATGAAAAAGAAATAAAAACATGCTCAGAGATGAAAGGAATTCTTCTGTCAATGCTCTATGTGAATCATATTGCATGTTTCTTCTCCAGCTTTCTGTAAGTTAAACATTTTATTGAAGTGGGTCTTGGACTTCTTTTCTCTGCTTGAGGCATTGATACTGACCCTTTATTTTAATACATACACCTTAGGATTTAATGTACTATTTGCAGTTGGGTGTTGCTGGTATTATGATTTAGATGTATGTATTATTCACTAAAAGACCTTTTGAAAAGCCATCTGTAAATGCTCTACAACAAAATGAATTCAACGTTGCATTTTAAGGATGGTGGGAAGCACATTATCTTAATGGATTATTGATCGCCCCCCAAAAAAGTTTGCTATTGTGCTATACACCTTATTACTGGATGCAGTATTCATGCAGATAACTGTTATGCTAAATGTTCAATATGTGCATTGTCTTGCTATTTAACACTTTCTCACTTTAAAACTACATACTTCTTTATATATTTTTGCTAGACAGCACAAAGTAGAGCATGATTGTAAAGAAAAACAAATATAATTTTTTTTTTTTTTACTTTTGATGGATTTAAAAAAAAAAGAAAACTGTTGGCATGCACAAATCAATTCCCTTGAATCAACATTGAATGCCAGAATGTACATCTCTGTGAAAAATAAATCCTGGTTGTGCAGCATTATGCTGCAGGATGCTTCAATTTACCAGTGACAAATATTCCATGGCAGTTTAAAGGGAGATCTGTAGCACTGAATTAAAGACAAATATGTAAGAAAACCTAAGGCTTGCACAAAAGACTTTGGACTGGATTAGAGGGGCACCTTCCACAAATACAACAGCCCAAAACTTACAGTACAGCAACAGCTGAAATGTAATTGTTTTTTTTATAGCATGAATGGCCCATTTCTAAATCAAATTAAAAGTCATAGCCAAGACTTGAAACTTGTCCATGTGTTTTACATAATTAACAACAAAAATAAAGATATTTAAAAAAATTGACTAAAATCTCAGTCTTCAAAGCTACTGTTGATAAAAAAAACCCCACATTCTTCTAAAAGGTACCAGCTAAAGAGGCTTGAAAAAATTATAAACTACACTTTTAATTATCCTTTTGCCCACAAAAACATTATTGTCATTCCACTTTTCCTCTGTTCTTAATTATAACATGAAAAAAAGAGAAAATATTTAAAGGACATCAGGTTTCTTTGTTTTTTCTGCTCTGTCTTTTTTCCTTTTTATCCTTATGTTTATTTGTGCAAATAAAACTGACAGAACCAGATCCCTGTGGGAACTCTGGTGCAATTTCAATAGGTTAACTCTGTCACCCTGAGTATGCTGTTGATACTGCAGTTCTGGTTAAGCATGTGGCTTGGCTGTTCACTTGTGTGGGATATTGGTTCCAGCTATTTCAGGTTCAGTTGAATTTGTGTTCCAGAAAAATAAATCAATGTATAATTGAATAAATATCTTTTTTCAGTTCATAACAGATTAGTTAGTGAATTAGTTAAGCAAGTTCCCACTGGGGGGCGCTGTTTGAAAACAAATAGCTGCTAGGGGTTCTGAGATGGCCCTTTCTAGCTGAACTCCTGTGGAAGATTTTCTGTCGTTCTTTTTAGCCATATATGTTTTCCAGAGAAATTGGTTGGAAACATTCCATAAGCTTAAAAATTAAAACCTGGTTTAAAAAAAAAAAAAAAATGCTTTTCCTTTTCAGTGATTTCTACCTAACTTGATCTGAATTGAAACTTATCAGGGGAAAATTAATGTCACATGAAACAAAACATTTTAATTAGATTTTGACAGATATTCTGACCCCAAATTATTTCATTAAGCAACTAATTAAAGCTTTGAATCCAGCTTGCAGGGCAGAAGTTAATTGCAATCGTATGTTTCTTAGCTTTTATTTCAAGGTCTCACAAACTAAAAGTCTCTCAGACTACTATTACACAACATTTTGAATAAAGATACCATCATTGCAGCTATTTTATATCTGTCTATATGTTTGAGATTTTTAGGATGTATAAACACAGGTTCATGGAAATAATTCTACAAAATATATATTTACTTTTTTAAAATACAAGTGAGAATTATTTTATTTCTACTAAAGTAACAAACATGACATTTAAAATGCATATGTTTTATCTTAATGCTTAACCTAAAATAAGGAATAAAATGAATAATTGACCTAACTGCAGTGGACCCCGGTTTTGAATCCCATGTTCTTAAGAAAAGGGCATTCAAGTGTAAAAAACTTTGCAATATTTGTGACTGAGATATATCGACTCGCTGTGACCCCCTGAAAATGGAAGCAATCAAAAGAACTACCGGTAAACAACATTAGATATGGAATTAACCATGGCAATGAAGTGTGTTCATATAAAAGTGAGTATTTTACACAACGTTGTCGTTTTGGACATTTATTAAGTTTAGTTTACAGTTTAACTGATGCCAATTGAGATCTGTTCAGGTAACCATCTAGCTGGAGAACATTAAAAAATATTCTTTAATTAACCAGAAAAAAAAAAATATCACTGGGGTTTAAAATCTCCCTCATGAGAGACCTGGAAGTAGTTTTAAAAACCATTTCTAACACTTCCAACACAGTAACCATCTCTGTGTGACCTGAACTATTAAAAAGGTATTATCTTTATACGCATGAAAAGAGATTAGAAGCTAATATTCCCACTAACTTGTAGTGCAAGTAGGGGAGGTGCAGTAAGTTTGAGAAAACTAAGAAGCTATAATTATCAAGACAGGAACAGTGTAACAGAAACTTTGTAGTGGTTTAAAAACCATAATTTATTTGAATCTTGGTACATTTAAAACCACTTATATACCCATACCTAATCTGAAACAACCAATATTGTAATGACAATATATGACCATAGTCACATATAACCAAAAAGCTATGATGTACAATACTAACAAGGTCTTTGATATTAAGACTTATACATACTTTATTGTCACAAAATTTTGATGCATACAGATTTCTGACAGTGAATGAGCAGCTTAGCAGCGAAATGAACATTTCCATTTATAAAGTGCAGCTGTGATCAAAATGTAAACAGCACAGGAGAGACATCCCTTAGCAAAAGTAGTATACTTGAAGTAAATTCTATTAATACTTAAGTATAAGTTTAGTAAGTATACCGAACAATGTACTTTTAGTGTACTTGTTGTATTACCTAAGTAATACTTCTTTGAACTAAATTGGGACATTTTTAAGTTTACTAATGTATACTTAAAGTATACTTTAGTAAACAATAAAGTAAACAATAGTATAGTCAACTACACTATTGTTAAGTGTATGAAATATAGTTTAGAATAAGAAAATCTAAGTGCACTGCCTGATTTTAAGTATGAAATTAGTGCACTTTTGAATAAACCACTTATTGCTAAGGGATGGTGCAAAAAGCATTGATATGGAAGGTTCAGAGCAATGCATAAATAAATAGATATGATGCATAATTAAGTGTAGAGTTCAGAGAGTAAAACGAAAACAAAATGATTATTAAAAAACAAAAAAAGACAGCTCTTTCTTGCTGTTGATACTCCATACTTCCGAGTTAAAGCACAGCGGGTTGTCTTTATTCCAGCACTCTGTTCAGTGGGATCCAGGCGGGAAGAGGTTAATTTTGCTCTACTGAGGGGGTAGAAAGAAGCATTAGCAACTGAGGAAGCCCTCCGCTTTCTCTGAATGAAATGCAGAGAGTGGGAATCCGGATCCCCTCCTCTCTCAGCTGAGGTTCGCTCCTGGAACCGTGCGTCCGTCAGCGGAGGTGAAACGGGAGGAAAGTGATGGAAAAGTTGCGCTGATCCGCGTTCAAACTGCTGGATGAGAGAGAGACAGAGAAAGTTTCCGATTGTGAAGTGACAGATGTAGAACTGGACTCATATAATGTGACTAAGGACTGCAGATTGCGTTACTCGGTTTGGATTCATTGCGTTCTGCTGCGGAATTACTTGTTTTGTGAAATTTCTGCAAAAAGAAAGAGAAGTGGATGAATTCAATGAGCGCGCCTGGCTGATCCGAGACGGGATGAATTCAAAGAAAGGATAAGAGTTTTCCTAAGAAACTCCTATATACTTTTTTCTTTATTATTCTTTTCATTTGGGCTGAACTTTGCGAACAGAACATGCGCTGAACCGTTGCGTAAAGAAGTACCACTCTGCTGCTTTTTGTTGGTTTTATATACTTTTATAAGAGGAAAAACTAAAGCTTTCCTTTTTTCTTTTGGATTTGGGAGACTCTGTTTGTCATGAAGGAGTTGATGCCTAATTTGATTTATTAAATCATTTGGATTACATCAGAGCATTTCTTATATGAGAGACGCTGAATGATGTCTCCAACTTCCATCGGATTTGTATTTTTCTTAGCTGCTCTCCATGTGTGCCCAGGTACGTATTTAGAAACATGTCTTTGTTGTAGATCTGTCTTTGTTCAAAAGTTTTGTTTTTCTTTTTGTTTAGTTTCTCTTCTAAAATTAGGAAATGTTTGGTTTGCTGGAACCAAAGATGCATCAAATGTTCCGATTTTTAATCAATGGGCGGCAGATTTACTGATATTCTGATACATATTTGGGACGAATAACGTTTTAATGGTGATAAATAATCATTATTACCTTTGTATCCTTTTATTAACATCTGGATTAAAATCTACTCTGTCTGCACATTTCTTCCTAATGGTTAGAAAACATGATCTGTCTGTTTTGATATAAAAAACAAAACAAAAAAACAAATTGTTAAAGACCAGGAATAACCTGTTTAGTCCTTATCTGGCATTTTCAAAAGTTGTTTTTTTGCTGAGATACAGATGTTATGGAGAAAAAGAAAAGACATATAAACAAAACAAAAAAATACTTTATGTAACATTTCTAATATAAATGTTGGGGTTTAGAGTCATAGTTTTAACTTCTGATCACTTTTTAAAATATTTTCTTGAACAAAAATCAAACCTTGCTCTAAGAGGGTCAACACTGTGAGTAAAAGGATTGTCCAGCTTAAAGCTGAGCACACAAAAAGTCACACATAAAGTGCTGAGGCCCTGTGGGATCAGTGAATAGAGCAGCTATCATCGGTCATAAAGACAGCATAAGCCCCATTGGGAACCGTGTTTCCATGTTTGTCTTCATTCGTCCTCTGGTTGACAATAATTGCTGAGTGCATCATTTTTAAATAGCTAAAAAGCTGCCTCCTTCCTAATGTCAGATTCCCATTGTTATATGTCTGTTTGGTGTAAAATAATTTGCTTTGATCCAGGTTTTATTGATAATTTGTCATTGGACTCCCTGCCAGATGCTGCTTGTACCTTTTTCCCACCGATTGCATGAATATCTTTTTAGAGGCTCTGAGTAGGGCTAGGTGGGGTTTTTCAGGTCAGCTGAGAAATGATCCATCCCATTCCAGTACTCATGATGGAGGGCGACTAACACATACTGTATGTGAAATGTAGCGAAATCAATAGAACATGCATAGCCTTGAACAATAAACTTAACATACCCTAAAATGTTGTTTTTCTCAGTATTACCATCTTTGCAAGCCTGCTGCAATAGACGTTGGAGTCCAGGTGCTCTACATTTCTGCCTCAGTAATTTAGCCAACGTATAATTATCTGAGTAACAGTCAGTCTAATTACTTTCAGGTTTAAACCTGAAAGGCTGTTCTGTCACATTATACCAAAGTTGTTGTTTGTTGAATGCGTCATTCGCACTTAAGTATCCCCTTACTGTTATTCAGTTGCCTAATATAGAGAACACAATTTTATATCTCAAAGCTGCACTTATCACTACAGAATACAGGGATAATCCTCTATATTTTATTTATTTTGGGTTTTTTTTACAGAAGAAAATGGGTTTAAGTTCTACAGGATGGATGTGAAGTTGTTTAAAGAGCATTTTTTAACTTTGAATTGATGTAAAACCGAAACAGGAAATAGGGTCAAAGGTTATCGTTTAGAACTAGATTGTTGTTTCATTTGCCCCACCCCCAAACAGCTCTTAAATCCATCCTGTTCTGTGAGAAAAGTCTTTTATACGTCGCGGTTTCCAGTTTCACCTAAATGTTGGGATATCTGATCATTTTTTCTTTGGGGATGGATGCCAGTTCCTTCGTATGGAGACCGACTGAGCAGCAGATGGCCTGAAAAAGTGTTCATCAACTTTAGAAATGTAGACAGATTCTGAAAGCAAATCTTCTTATACTCATAAAATTCAATTTCTATACTTTTTTTTTTTTTTCTGTGATTCCTCTATTTCCCCTTAAACATGCCACTATGATACAAATGGCAAAGCTGTCTTACAATTATATGAGGGAACTTTGAAAGACGTTCACACTGTTTGTCAGGTCGCCATACTCCATAACACTATATAAGATTGGTGAATAAGAGTAAAATGCGATAGTCTTTGCCCTGTCAAACTTGAAATGCCTTGCTCATTGCTTTGCTCTGTCTGACTGTTGTAAATTGATACCTTCATCTGTCAGGTCACACCCTGTTATCTTGGATCTGTCCTCCTTCCATACACTAAATGCCTGTTATCTTGACTCTTAAGTGCTCATCAGGTCTCGCACTCGCCACACAGATACCATTCAGGTAGGAGGTGGCTTCAGTTACCGGGATAACCTGGATTATTCTCAAAAGACAGTAGTTTCTGAGATGACTTTAATTATGAATAAATAGACAGTAGAACTTTAAGTCAACTATAGGATATACACGTTGCGGTTTACTGTAAAGTTTGGCTGGATGTAAGAAGCCGAACCAGGCAGGCATGCGTTTGTGCTCAGTCTAATAAAAGCATGAGCAATGCAAGTGTTGCCCTTGTAATCAGCCTCAGCATTACAAAGACATACAGGTCATGACAAATTGACACATAAGTGCTGATAAATTGCAGTGCTCTTCAGCCTCTTACATCATGGTGACATGACAAGACACAACTGGCTCCACAGCCATTTAATGACCAAAGCCCACAGGTGAGACCTATCTCTGTTTCCATCTCCACATAACAAACTCCTGAAGTCAGGTTTATTCCTTCAACCCTGCTATGGCTTCTAATTATGGTGACTAGCATTGCTTATCCTTTAGACCTGATGTCGTCAGAGCAAATTTGGCATCTTCTGAAACATAGAAACATAATGAGCACGTCTCTTTCCTTCTCCCACCTGTGATGTGACAGCTATGTCTCCATAACTTCCACTAATGCACATTAATCGGATCCTAATCCAAATGAAACAGGGTTTTACACTCTAAGATCCGGGATTAGGTGGACTTTGGCTTAGTGAAACCACATGCAGGAATGCAGGAGAGGTAATCAGTGTCCTTTTTTTTTCTCCGTTCATGGGAACAGCGGCAAAGTTCTTAATGACTGACAAGATAAACATTTCAAGGCAGTTTGTTTGAGGGCAGATAAATTAGGCGGCAATGTTTAATGATCTGCTTTCCTCCAACTGCTCTTCTCTTAACGACCTAAAAGTGCCGCTTAATTGGATTAATTTACAAATCCAACTGACGTTAGTGGTTTGTAATATACTGTGGCTGAAGCTTCAGTGGATGTGCACATCTGCAAGGAGAAGTAGAGGGATTTCATTGTTCATAAAACTGAGATAACCTCCAAGTTTTCTCTTGAAGTTTTAGATATTAGCTGTTTGATCTCACTGGTATTTAGTTCAAATGATGTAAGTTAAGGGTATAGTTCAAACTAATTTGGTATTTTATTAAAAGGCTTAAGAGTGTTATATATTGACATTTTACATAAAAGACGAAGACTGAATAAATGCTTAAAGGAAGTAAAAGGAAGTAAAATCACCAGCTGTCAACATGACGGCCTCTTTTAATGAAAACTTTGTAAAGTTAACCACCAAATACAGCTACAAAGTTTTTGCTTGCAGTCTGAAATTTCCTAACCATTTTTGCAGGGCGAATTATATTTTAGGCTATGTCAGATTAGATGGAGATGGTTGCTAAAGAGAAATTTAACACTCTGGCCACACATTTCTTTTGTATGATTTAGGGTTTGAATGTTAGCTGAACCATTCTGACATTAGGACAAGCATCTTCATGGTATAATGATTTCATCATTTTTTATTTTTTTTTTCCAGGACTTATCCTGTAGTTAGTTATCATGTCTCTTTACTTTAGCTCTGACATGCCTTCTTCTCATTATTGAGGAAACCATTTCCCCAACATGGTTTTACAGCCAACACCACTAGATTTCATTGTGGGGATTATCAAGGATCAGAAGGATCCAGCATTTAAGTCACAGACTGTTAGATTTCTCAAAAAGCATTTATAAAAAAAAAAAAGGATCTGCAGTAAGCAGCTAGGAAGTCTATGGCAGGAACATCTGCCATGTGTGACCACGTTGAACCGCGCTTAACTGGTACTAGTTCAACTCTAGCGCTCGGCAAGGTTCAGTACAGTCTCGGTTCTCAAATAACAAGGTGCGCGTGAGCAGACTACGTCATCTCCTATTTACAGTCAGCTTCCTGTAGTTGGCGGTAATGCACATCAGGAAATTGCTTGCTAACAAAACAGAAGAAGAAGGAAATTTCAGACATTTATAAAAATACTAGCTTCCCTACCGTGCAACACGATTTCCAGTGATGATTCTGCTTAGAGGTGTGATTAACCTCAACGTCTGTCAGTGTTTCCTGCCTCTGCAAGCCTTGATTAGACTATTGATTGTTGTATCCACTTCCCAGAAGCTGACTCTGTCAACTAAATTCACCAAAGGCTGCCTTCTTTGCCCAACTCTCCGCAAAAACATTAAATATCACAATTATATCCAAACATAACTTAAAGAGCGGTAGTACCGTATATCGTCACAAGGAGGCGAGGAACCATTCTTGCATGATGTGTAAACGGTTGTAAGGAATCAAGCTCGGCACGGTTAACTGATCTAAGCTTAATCCAAACTCCGCACGGATCTGTTTTCAGAGGCTATTGTAAATGGGGCTTATGTTTAATTTCCTTGACCGGCTGGAACCAGTCACCAGTCTTTGCAATCTCTTGCAAGTTTGATTGTGACTTGCTTTTAGCATCTTCCTGCCAAATAAAAACTTTGGAACTGCAACCAGTTTCCCATTTCCTGCTAATAAAAAAAGTAGTAATGATGCTATCTTTTTTTTCTTGGGCAGCTGTCTGTTTGGTGATGTGTCTAATATTCTGCCACGTGTAACATTACACTTGTTGAAAAGGTTAATCATGGTATCATCCAACAAAGAATCTTGTTCCACATAGTTGTCTCCTATATGGTTTGTCAGAAAGTACAGATAGCATTGTTATGGGTTTCTTTTAAACAGTAGTTGGCTGCCTCTCTGATTGATGCTCTTCTGTCCAGTCAGTGGGTTTAGATGGAATTTGTCAAAACCCATATGCTGGATTTCATTAAATTTTCCTTTTTTAT